TTCGGATCCAACTATGGGCTTAGGATGGTGTTGTTATCAAGGAAATGATCAATCGATATTGTTCGGTGCAATGTGCCTACGAAGGAGTCCTTCCCCCCTTCACTCGGAGATGGAAGCTTTAATTTGGGCTATGAAGAATATCCTTTCAAGAAGGATAGATTGTCAGGCGTTTGAAACAGATTGTTCGGAGTTAGTCTCGATGATACAGTCCCCTGACGAATGGCCCGCTTTCTCCAATCTGCTAGACGAGTTTGGTTTTCTCCGTGTCTCTTTCCCCTTCTTCTCGCTCTCTCTTATTCCCCGGTTATGTAATGTTAAAGCGGACTGCTTAGCCCGTTCTTCCAGACTTTTATTTTATGACGTTTCTTTTGTAGACACTTATCCTCCTAATTGGGCAACCTATCAAGAAGTTCTTTATTAATTAATGTGTGGTTGACAAAAAAAAAAAAAAAAAAAAAAAAAAAAAAAATTTGTTTTTTAGGACCATCTCAAACTATGTGTAGATTTTGTTGAAAATTTGTATTTAAGATATGTTTAATGTGGACATAGTTGTTTTTAGAAAAGAAAAAAAAAATTAACCATTTTTTTTTTAATTTAATTATAATTTAACCATTTTTATGAGTATCTTTAAAACTTTATTAAAGATTTTTTTTTTTTGAAAATTGAAGTATTTAAATAGGAACCATGTTTGATTATTCAACTTACACAAGCACATGTTAAAAAAAGGTCTATGGATTTTTATGCACACACATATATCGTCTTTATTTAAGATTTTGGAGATGAAAATAAATTAAAATGATTTTGGAAATGTGATGTTGAATAACAATTAACAAACAAACAACTTTCGGTGTAAAAGACTAGTAACTTTCGGTATTAGAAAGTGAAAATGTTATTTAATATATTTGAACTTACAAAGCAACTACTTGCCACTTACAAACAAGAAAAATCTACAAATACTAAAGGAGATTAGAAATCCTCATATATATAAAAAAATGGGAAAAAAATGGTTGTCTCTTCTGTGAACTATTGATATGTTGAGATATATGCATGAATGAAATCAATTAAATTAATTACTCTTAGGATTAGAAAAACAAATTTTGAGAGAAGCATTTAGTTTGGAGTTAATTAAATGTCTTCCAACGCCTATACATTTCCATCTTCAGCTAGCCTCTAACTCGACCAATCTCTCGACGATAACATCCGATGCAATTGTAACAACCTCCGATAAATTCCTAAATAAATGAATGGTGAGTTAAATCAGAAACTTAATAAACAAAATACAACAATAAAAAAGATTTGATAGAAAAATTAAATTACCCTTTGTAGGAATCAAACGTGAGTCCAACGATATCTTTAGCTTCTTGAAGAGCCCATCTAAACCTTTGGATTTCATCATCAGAACATGTCACCCTCTCGATCATAACATCGAGTTGTGAAGGTTTGATGTCGCAGAATATCGGTATGACCCTTTTCCTGGACTCCATTATAAGAGCAAGCTCGTGAAGACAGAAATATGAATCGCAGTAGTTGGGAGAAAAAACCGTTACAGCGACTCTAGAAGTGAGAATCGCGCTGTTGATATGATCAAAAAGCTTATCTCCGGGCTTCATGTTCTTGCAATCCAGGAATGGACGTAAGTTACGAGATTTGAGGTTGTCGTAAAGCAATGTTGCGATGGTTCTCTTTGTGTCGGATCCTCTGTGGTTGATGAACACGTCATGCAAAACTTTGGGTTTTGCCGATGATGAGGAAGAGAGAAGATCGAGAAATAGTTTGTTGTTTAGCTGAACGGTTTTGGATTGTTTCATGAAGTTGAAAACACTAGAGATCATGTTTTCTCGTGCGATGTAATTAGATCGAAGTTGGGATGATGAATAGGGCTTGAGTATCTTACTTGTATGTGTAACTATATATAGGGTTTGAAGTAAAATTGTCGTGGAGTAATGGGCTTGAATCAGAGAAGAAGACAAGAAGAGCAATGGTGGATTTTGAACAATATATGAGGAATGTTTAGTAGACGTTGGCCGCGTCAACAAAAATAGTTCATTTTCTATTTTATTATTTATGTGCATTAATTCTAGTGTGCGAATATGTCACATTAGGAAATTTTAAAATAATTAAAATTTTCACTAAATACACATTTTCTTTAATTACTATGCATGATAAAAAAAGATTATAAATATTTGTTGGATAGAAAATATTACAAATTATATAATGTGACTAGCTATTATGTTAAGACAATAGTAAATTTATAGGAAACAAAACAAATTCGTATTCCGAAACAGAGTTTTTTTATTTTATAATAATTTTTTTTTTATTATTTTATAATTATTTTATAATAATTAGTATAATGCATATGTACGATTAACTTGTAAGATGATACTAAATAATCTATAAATCTGTATACACCGACAAGTCGATCGGGTGTTGCATTTTTTAAAACTCGGGTGTATTAATTTTTGTTGTCAATTTGTTTACGATAAATTAATAATCAATGTACAATATTTCTAAGTAAAATATTAGACTTGAATTTAGGTTACAAGAAGAATGAAGAATAAGAAAGGTATGGGTAAAAAATTATGTAGTTGCGTTGAAATAGGTTTGACCATTTTCTTTGTCCAAAAAAAATAAAAACAAAAAGGTTTTGACCATTTCCCGTCAAAGAAGCTAACCATGTGCTTGAAAATTCTTTTCCTTGTATACGAGTTAAAGGAGAAACTATTTTTTTTTTCTTTTGTTATTTTGTGGTCTCTATTATATTGAAGTATCAGACAACATGTTTTTCTTTTCAGTGCCAACAAAAAAGTATAATTCGAGAAACTAAGTCAACCAATATGGCTAAATTCGTTATTTATTTCAAGAGCAATATATGAAATTGAGAGTTTATAATATATCTCCAGCCAAAGTAAATAATTTTGAATACAATTTTCATCTAATTATGTAAGGCTCAAGAGGTTGATGTAGTTTTTTTTTTTTTTTTTGGAAAAAGAAAGGTTGTGTAGTTACGTATCATATTGTTGTGCGATCAAATATCAAATGATATGAAATAAAATAGTAATTAGTAGTGTTAACTGTTGAAGTGGTAGATGACGTTTTTTTTAACTGCTGCAAATGTTTAAAGTGATAAGAATCTCTGATTCTCGATGAATATTAGTCTGAGTTTCAAACTTTCATTCCAAAATCAATTCAAGTTACTAAAGAAAGGGTTAGTAAGTTTTATATAAGCATAATTCTTTTTTTTTTAAGAATTAGCTAGAACATCACAATAATTTATAAAGTTTTTGGGGCAACTATCTTTATTTGTACAATTTTCTCTTATGAAATTATCAATAATTTTTTGGTGGACTTTCAATCAAAACAGTGACTGATTTATTTATTTTTACGGAAAAAGAAATTCATCCATTCAAGCTGGAAATGATCGATTTTCTTCAAGAGAAAACCACTCCGGTGTAGAGGAGCTTACATGGAAAAACATAAAATCACGCGATCGTGCATTTTTTGCAAGACAGTTAGCACGGATGTTGTTAAAACGTGGAGTAAAATACAAAGTAAAAAAGGGAAAAAAGATCTTAAAGAGTTAAAATCTTTTAATTCTGACGTAAAGGCAAGCCATTCATTGGGAGTATCCAATAACTAATTAAGTTAACTCTTTGCAATCAAACAATGACTGATTTGAATGTACATCTTTTCATTTTTCATAAATGGTAAGATCGAAATCAGATAGTTTAAACGAAATTAAATCTAAAAAATCTCGATGAAAACCCTAGCTAGACCTCAAAGACAAAAACACAACATGCTTGGTGCACATTCATTGAAACCCTAGATAGGCATACACTTATTTTTTTTTTTTTTTTTATCTTTATGAAGTGTTCTCGTTTGATTATAATTTTAGCCGACAAAGGTTACGAACTTTCCACAAATACGCTGAGAATCTAGCCACGAAGGAGACAAGAAAACATTTTTTTATTTTGAATATTTTTTCGTTCTCTAATCACTACGCATGAAAAATTGAATTCTTGCAGTAGTTATCATTTAATACGTAATTTTCATAGACCTTTTCTCAAGAACACGATGAAAGTAAGAACAAAGAGAGTCTTGTCCTTTGAATTGAAGACAAAGACAAAACTCGACAACGAAAACACAAGGGAACACAACAAAGTATTGGGCCAAACTCAAAAGGCCCATTTATGTATTATTGATTGTGGATGCAAGATCCAGGTTTGTGTATGTCAGGTTAAAAAGAAAGAATTAGTTGATTTCTCCAATTGAAAAGTAACTCTATAAGTTTTCAACTAATGTGTGGCTTTGAGAGTAAATTTAGAACAATTCATTTTTTTTGTTAAAGAACAATTTACCATTCATTTTACTATATGAGCTATTATTCATCCGAATTCTCATTATAAACAACATATAGAGTAAAATCATAATCCATATTATTTGTACGTAGTCATAAAATTCAACCATTGATTTCTTCATCCGATTTCTCATCATATGTAGTAATCATAATCCTAACCGGGAAAACCGGATTCCGGCTATTTACATGACCACTCACTGTAGATCAGCCGTTTTAGATCTAAGCATTCAATTTGACTTCATTATTCAAAACGGTGACATTCAATTCCATTTCTCGATTTAATTCTTCTTTTAATCTTTCGTATTATTAACATTCCTAATTTTACGTTTCTTTTCCCACTAAACCAGCTTTAAAAAAATTACGATTTGTAATATTATTATTTTGGGGAAAATTAGCTTTAATTATTAAACAAGTTATACGATCCCTTTAATTAACCCGTAGATAAAGCAAAATGAAACTCCACCTGCACCACGTTATTATTTACTATTTACTAACGTTAATTCATATACTAATGACACTTCAAAAGGCAACGAATTAGCGTTGTCTTTTTTTTCATAAATAAAAAATTAGTCATTTCGTTTTCTTTAATTCGGTCACAAGTTTCTTGACATTTTCGTCTATAAATATTATAATCAAGAAACGAAACAACTTCGAGAGAAAGAGAAAGAAGAATCACAAGAAAAGCTCTCTGAGAACAATCTCCTCAATGGCTTCAAAGCTCGTGATCATCATTGTGTTCATTCTAGATCTCATTGCTGTTGGATTAGCCATTGCCGCCGAACAACGAAGAAGTGTCGTAAGAATCAATCACTTTTCTCTCTTTACTCTTCGTTGCTCTCTTTCAGATTTCTTCTTCTCCTCAAGTCAAATTTTGGTTATGAGATTCTAATCTTTATTTGGATAATATGTGGGATATATATAGTGTTTAGACTTTTAAATTAGTTTTGGTACCAAAATCTCTGTCGGTGCGATTTCTTGTAGTGGACTCTTTATCAGATCTGATTCAAGAATCTTGTTTCTTGATCAATACGGATCTCAAAATTGTACTTTAAAGATCTTTGTAGACTTTAAGACCTTTGTAGATAAGTGTAGCTTACTGCATTGTTAGATCTCAGATTAGTGGTTTTTTTATGTAGAAGAAAATGGCTGAAGATCTATCATTTTGCTTAAGTTTTTTGGTTTCTGTGTTTGTTGTTTTGTAGGGTAAGGTTGTTCCGGATAAGGAGAAGGATTATGAGTATTGTGAGTATGGCTCAGACATAGCTACAAGTTATGGAGCTGGTGCATTTGTGCTTCTCTTCACCAGCCAAGTCATTATTATGGTGGCTAGCCGGTGTTTCTGTTGCGGCAAAGCTCTTAACCCCGGTGGTTCAAGAGCTTGTGCCATTATGCTCTTCCTCATTTGCTGGTAAAACTCTATACTTGGCGTAGTAATCACATAGGTTTCATTAATTTAGTACTGACCCTTCTTGTTTATCGGTTTTGGATAGGGTGTTTTTCTTGATTGCTGAGATATGTTTGCTCGCGGGATCAATCAGAAACGCGTACCACACTAAGTACAGAAGGATGTGGAACGTCGAAGACCCTCCGAGCTGTGAAGTGATCCGTAAAGGAGTGTTTGCTGCTGGTGCTTCCTTTGCTCTCTTCACTGCTATTGTCTCTCAATTCTATTACATCTCCTATTCTCGTGCCCGGGATGGTTACCAAAACCCACATTACTAGGGAGTGAGATCCAGAACAAGAAAAGCTAAACGTTGAAAGAGTTTGTCCACTCACTGATCAATAGGATATTAAAATTTGATGATGTTAGTGATTTTGCTTCTTGCTTGTATTCGTTATGCCTTTGAATCACATTTGCTTTTTTGGTTTTCTTGTGATGTATAAATCTTATATAATATAGACAGCTATTCTACATTCAGCATCTAAGATTGTTGTTACAGGGTAAGTTTTATCCATTTTAGAGCTCATAACCTGGAAACAGAGCTTGAGTTGGATCGTTCATGTCGAGAAACATGTAGACCATTCCTCCAATGCCTTCAAATAGAGAGAAGGGTCTATCTCCTCTATGCATTTTACCTTCTGAGATGAGTTTCTCTGATTTATCGAGTAGGAAAGACGCGAAAGCTTTTGCGCGGTACAAATATTCTGGTTTTCCAGTTAACCGGTATAGAGAAAGAAACACATATGTGTTTCCGCTGATACCGTGACAGATTCCTACTCGTTTAAGCAATCCACGGTTCCACACAACTTCTCCTGCCTCCATTGCTGCCTCTACAAATTCCTTTGTCTTAAAAACCTGATGATATCCAGAACTGAGTTTTGCATTGTGGTTTTACTGATAAGAGTATTTCAATCAAGAACTGATTACCTGAGCTGCCTTTACAAGTGTGAGAGCAACACCAGGAGCACCATGACACCAGTGAACAAGGCGATCCGATTCGCTTCCTTCGCTAGATAGGTAATTCCCGCTAGGAAAACGGTTTTGTATCATATAACTTAGCGTACCTTTGACATCTTTGATTTCATCTGGTTCAAGTTCCATATGCATCAAAACATTCATGATCCCGGCTAAACCGTGTGCAGCCCCCCAGTATCTCTTGCCGTGCCACTCATACATCAACGGACAAGTTCCTCTATTCCCAAGTTGTCTTCCTGCCCTGAAGATTTCCTCAACCACTGATCTCTGAAGATATATAGAAATCAGCAAATTTTGAACCAAATAACCAAAGAAATTTACAACTTTGTTACCATTCTTTCAGATGATACACTCTCTGACCCGATATGCTTATTCAAGAACAAGCATGCCCACAAGTATCCTGCTCTACCATATAACAACTCGTATGGCAAGTCACTAGGAAGCCTAATCTGTTAAAAAATCCAAGTTGCAACACTCAAGCAAAGTACAAGCCAAGTTATCTAATTTGCACAAGAGCAAAATAAACTGTAATTAGTAATTACCTCTCGGAAACGGGCTAAGTAATGATCCCGCAACTGGTCATCACCGAAACGCTTGGCTGCAACAGCACCAAGAGCACATACACCAGCATAGCCACATATAAATGTCACTCGCCTGATAAAAACCGCGGTTATTACCCCGAAATGAATATATAAAAATGGGCTCTTTAAAGAAATTCCTTACTCAGAATCTCTTGAAGCTACATCACAAGCCTCAACAATCTCTAAGCATAGCTTAAGATCATCTTCATTTCTAGTAACCTGATAAGATTTGAACAAGAGATAAGCTGTCCCAAGAACTCCAGTATACAAGTTATAATCTCGAACACGTTTTCCAGATCTTTCCCATGTCCCCCACACTACCTAAAAAGAGAATCACCACACAAACAAGACAAAACACAAATGTAGCTTCAGACATCACTTCACTAATTCGATTATTACAACTACATAACTTCCACATAATTCAAATTGAAAAGTGAGTTACTTTATCTTTAAGGCTGAGAGCATAACTCTGAAGCTTCTCGGAGAATGATTTGTACGGAAGTGATAGCAGCTTCGTCAACGAATCTTTACATGAGGTAACAGTTTCTTCTTCTCCGGCTGATTCTTCCGGTACAAACGTTCTCCCATCTCTCTCACTCTCTCAGCGGTTGCTGCGAAGAACAAAACTAACGACGAAGTGACACATCGTTAATTGTTAATGGGCCTTAATATAGGCCCAATAAGGACCGGCCCATGAGTTTTTTCTCTGTTTCGTCTCTTACCTTAAAACTCTCTGCTAAAACCCTAGAGAAAACGTCTCTACGCGGAAAAAGCAAAAAAAAAAAATGGGGAAGAAGCGGAAGCACAGCGAGACGTTAGCTCCGGCGCCGGTGAAAAAGAACGACGAGTCTGCTCCGGAGAGACCCAAAAGGACTCTATTAGGATGGAAAGATAAGAGTGAAGGTGAAGCTGATAAATCTAAAGCTTTGTCTTCATCTGGATTCAGGAATAAAGAGAAGGTTTTGGTTACTTGTTCTCGTCGAATTAGTTTCAGGTTGAGTTTAATTTGCAAAAGTTGTTTCCTTTCTTTTGGTTTGATTTCGTTTTTAGGGTTTGAAATTGATTTGTTTATTTGGGGGGTTTTTGTGTGTGAAGGTATCGGAGTTTGATGTTGAACATGGTTTCTCTTCTACCACACTGTAAGAAGGATAGTAAAGTTGAAGCTAAGAGTAGCAAAGGCGCGACTTTGAATGAGCTCATTGAGCTTAAGGGTTCTAATTCCTGTTTGTTCTTCGAGGTAAAGTTTCCATCTTTAGTACTTACTTACTTATCTCTAGGCTTAGCTTTTGTTCTATGTACTAAAAGATAGTCAGATTTGTTCATTTAGTGTGGAATGTATGACTGAAACCTCAGAAACTTGTGATTAGTATACTCAATGGAAGCTTATGTATTTGCATATTGGTTGATTTGTGTTTATTTAGTATTTGTTCCATCTTATCAAAATTTGATAGTTATCCCAAAGTGTTAGGATTTGCTTGCTTTAGTGTGGAATGTTTGACTCAGTCTTAGAAACTTGTTATTAGAAAAATACTCAGTGGAAGCTTAAGTATATGCATGTTGATGTAAATGGACAATCTTTGAATGTGTTGGTTGATTTGTGTTTGTTTCTGTTTCTATTTGCAGTGTAGGAAACATAAGGACCTTTACATGTGGATGGTCAAATCCCCTAATGGACCATCTGTGAAGTTTTTGGTTAAAGCTGGTAAGTGTCGAGATCCTCTGACTTTAGCTTTAAGTGGCTAGAGCTGATATATCTAGTCACGTATTTAGCTATGATGGGTTCAATCAGCTTGTGTCTTGTTCTATAGCTGAGTTCTGTTTCTGTAACTATGAATTTTTTGGTAAAACGGTTTTTACTTTTGTTTCCTGTATTTTGAAGTGCACGCGATGGAAGAGCTGAAACTCACTGGAAATCATCTAAAAGGGTCGCGTCCACTTTTGACATTTTCATCCAATTTTGATAAAGATGCGCACTGGAAACTCTTGAAGGAGATGCTTACTCAGGTTGTTACCAGATTCATATTCTTGGATAATGTTTTTGGTCCATTAGTTCTCGATAATATTCAAGACATTAACATCCTAATTACTTTTGTTTTGTTTATCTCTCAGGTCTTTGGAATTCCTAAGGAACACAGGAAATCGAAGCCTTACCATGACCATGTATTTGTCTTTTCCATTGTTGATGAGCATATATGGTTCCGGAATTACCAGATTTCGGTTCCTCACAATGAATCAGATAAAATCGCAAAAGGCGGCCTGGATAAAATGACCCTTATCGAGGTTTGTCGACAAAGAGTTATTACAAACTTTTAATAATAGTCTTTCGACCATGGTTTTGATTGAAACAAATACACTATTGACCACAGGTTGGTCCAAGGTTTTGTCTGAATCCAATCAAGATATTCGCAGGCAGCTTTGGAGGTCCAACTCTTTATGAGAACCCGTTATACGTATCTCCAAACCAGGTATCATTGATCGATGTTCTATTTGCAAACCTGATCCCCAAAAGATTTAACCAAATGAATCTTAGAACATTCCTTAAGCAAATTTTAAATCAATGTCTTTAGATTCGAGCACTGGAGAAGAGAAATAAAGCTGGGAAATTTGCTAAGAAGATCAAGGCGAAGACGAGGAAAAAGATGCATGAGCTCTCAAACCCGTTGGAGCCTGATGAGTTTGCAGATATGTGGAAAGATGATGAATGATCAGAATTCAGGAAAATTGTATCAGTTCACTTTTTTTGTTTTGTCTTACTCAAGGTTTCCCTTTTTTTCGCTCAGGATCAAACAGAATCAAGTTTTGTCTTGCAATGATATGTTTCTTAAATTCAACTGATTCTGTAAGTAAACAAGAAAAACAAGTTTATTGTTGTTTGCATTATCGATGGTATTTACAAAAAACAGAACAGAAATCACATCATAGAAAGAAGAAACAAACAACTCGGGATCAATTAGCTTCACTTTCTCTTCTTGGAATGCTATTGATCTTTGAACAAGCATGGCCTTTAAAGTTAGGTCTACATATAACTCTGAATGTCCTTTTTTGGAGCTCTCATTAGATAGTCTTTTAAGTTTTTACAAAAGGGTAAAGCTCGTACCTAAAATTACAGTTGGGATTATAAACTCTTCCTCCTTGTTTACCGTTGCAGCATCTCGGAAGCTTCCCCATTATCCAATCCAAACACACACTGCAATTTTTAAGCGATAAATCTTGCGTACACTGCACCATTGCGTACAATTTCATTGTCCCGAGACTTTCTACCCCGGTCGCATACATGTAGTCTTTTGTGTACTGCTCTTGCTCTTTCCTAGTTGCTTTCTCCTTCAGCTTATAGAGGAGAGCCTTCGTGTTCTTGTTGAACGACTTTGTATTGCCGCTCACATCTTTCGCGTTGTACACATAGAAACTGTGCTTGTAATCGACTTTATCATAGGTATAAATCGAAGAAAGGTCGAGAACACAGTTGTCGTACCATATTATTCTCCCTTTGTTGTTCGGACATCTTCTACGAATCTGTCACATATATACCAAAATCAAGAACAATTGTTTTTTTGTACTATACTATATAGTTCTTTTTGTACTATCGCATTACCGCAGAGAAGGCGGTGGTAAGGCAAGAGCGGCACTTAGATTCAGAGACGTCACCCCGACACTGGAACTTGGCGTAGATGTCATTACTACTGGTACCGCTGGTGAAACCATAGTCTAGAGGTGAAGACATAAACTCGAGGAGATGTTTGACATTGCTCTCATATGAACTATCCGACTTGTATGTCCCGTCACTGTTGACGCATATGTGTTGCAGATAAGCATTGGTCTGGTTTAGAGACAATACACCCTGTATAAAAAAGAGTAGCATTGCCACCACAACCAACATAGTGACGGAAACATGGCGATTCGACATAGAGGAAGAAGACATCGTTACTCGATTTTGATATATGTCTCCGATGGAGGACGATCTTCTATTAGATCAATCATGAAAACGTTGGGATCTTTATATCAGGAGAGAGGAGTTTTTGGATTGAGACTTGGTATTTACGGCGAGAGACGAGGAGGACCAATGAAACTTGTTCCAACCTTTAAATAGCTTAGTAGATTGCATCATCACTACCACTAATGAAGATGTTTATTGTTGTTTGCATTGTCCAAGGTATTTACAAAAAAACAGAACAAAACATTGCATCAAAGAAACAAACAACTCTGTTTTTTCAACAAGTTTTCTACTTCATTCCATTAAACGCGAATTCGCTAGAGACCAATTAGCTTCACTTCCTCTTCTTGGAATGCTATTGATCTTAGAACAAGCATCAACTTTAAAGTTAGCTCCACATATAACTCCTTCACTATCAATCCTCGGCATCGCCTTCATCTTGTTTTTCGGATGCTCAAAACTCATCAAACCAGTCTCACTATGAAACATACAACCTGAAAACAACATTACACAAACACATTCATCTCCAAATCATATACACATTTTGTTTTACTCATTGTACTCAAAACTGAATCTATCTACTAACTAACCGGTTGGAAAAGGCGCGAACGATTTCGCACAACTTTGCTTAATGATCTTAATATCATCAGACATAACAACAGATCCATCTGCAGCTATTCCCCAATACAAACTCTCTTCTCCATCAGATCCCTGAAAAAACATTCAAAAACATTGTCAACAAAACAAAAAACTCAAATTTCAGATCTTTGTTTAAAGTTTCAGTTTTTATACCAGAGCTGCGAAAACAGAGGAGGTTTGAGTATCATAGACGACAAAAGCAAAACTTCCTTCAAGACCTCTGAGAACTTGATCAGCTGGATAAGGACCACGATCACGAAGTGTGCGATAAGCTTCGATCACAAACATTGCTTCGTTTGAAGTTTTTCCAGATAAACCGTATTGTTTGTTCAAGTTACAGAGATTGTTCAATGCTCCAAGAAACACACAGTAGATTCCATCGATTCCACTAAACACTCTGAAAAAATTACACACAAAGATTAAAGATTTGATTTTTTTCCGGTAAGAAACAAGATTATGGATTGTGTTAGTGAAAAAGTGTTTTAAACCTTTGATGATGAGAGTTTTGTGAACGGACGAAAGCAAGAACAGCGGAGTCACCGAAGTTCATTGAGAAAGCAGTGTCAGGGTGGTGAGAAAGGAAGTCAGAGAGAGTTTCTCCGGGAAGTTTTGGGTTTTCGCCGGTGAAATTAGACGCCGGACTGTTTAGTTCTTCCGGTGGATGAACAAACGTCTTTTGAAAAATAGCCAACATTTTTTTCTTTTTTTTTGGTAATCTTTTTTTTTATGTTTTTGGATAATATGAGAAAATGTGATTATGTTTTTGGATGAAGAACAACAATAAGTGGGTTTTTATAAGTTTTTGTTTTGTGGAATTTTGATTTACACGAAAAGTGAGAAACATTGACGTGGAGATGACTCTGATTTGTTTTTTATAGATAAGTCTTGTCTCGCAGATCTCAATGTGTTCTTATCCAAAGTCTAGTAGTACTACTTATTGATAATTAATTATGCCTTTTGTTAATGGCCTACGAGAATCAATTAGTTTTTCTTTATTTGAAGGCACATATCTTCACAATGATATATGATCGAAAATGGTATATGCATTACCTTGACACAGTAACATAAATGTCATACGAAAGAAACCAGTATATATGGTGAACATATATATGTATTGTTAATAACCGATATCGGTTCGGTTTAATCTGGTAAGGCTGTTTACTTAGCTTGATCAGCAATTGATACATATTTCAGTAGGTTCTTTGCTTGAAAGAATGGAGTGCAAGCCGAGTTGATAACTTTCATTATCCCCAAACCCAAATAACTGTCCTTCTCGCGTCGCGTGATCACCACGGTGTAAACCTTACTGGTGCTAACTTGCAAGACACGGTGCGGTCTCAGACACTCAAGGACTCGTGGCTTCTCCACTGCATGAAAAATGATTCCCGCATGCCCGAACCCAAGGCTGCCATATCCCAATGCCCCGAACCCATACACTAAACCACCTTCGACCACAACAAAAGTTTTCCACTTTCTTGCGACCTGCAAGGCCGAGAGTAACTCCATTTCAAGAACAAAGAGAACACTTTTCTTTCTTTTGTAATGTAAGACTTACAAACTAGATTTAGAGTACAGAGAGAAGATATTGTTCTTAAACCTGAACTGCTATATGTTTCTTAAGGCTGAGTAAAACCTCAGGAGTGGGCTTGTCATTCTCGTCACCATGTCCTAGAGCGCCTATGTCACATCTACCCCATGTGTATACCTTACACATTAGAAAAAGAAAAGAGAAATTGTTATGAAACCAGAGAGATTTAAGGTTTAGGCTTGGAAACAAGTACATTCCAATTTCCAAGGTTCGAGAATTACATAACCGTTAGAGTCAATCGCAACAGCATGTTCATCGCCAGCACAGACACGGAGTATATGAACACCTTTGGTTTTAAAAGCCTGAATAGCATGCGGCAGTTGTTCATCCCGAGTATCTCCATTACCAAGACAGAGGTCAGAACCATCGCCAAAAGAGTAAACCGATCCATCCTCCGTTACAGCCAAGACATAGTATGGTCCAACCGAAATGTGTATAACCAGCCCAACCTTCTTAAGTAATTCAACCATGCTGGGTACTTGTCTGTTCAAGGTATCACCATGACCAAGCTGCCCATATAAGTTTCCTCCAACAGTATACACATGCCCTTCCCTTGTCAGAAACACAGTGGAGGTGTTTCCAGTGGCTACCTAGTAACAAGGTTCATGTAACAATTTTAACGAATCTCCACAAAACATATAGATGGGCCACATAATACTAGTAGTTTGCATACATCAAGTTTAACATTCAGGAAAGCAAACATCTAAACTAGATGCAATATCAGTTTCAACATTCATGTAAAACTTAAACTCAAAGATCCCTTGGTCTACAGAGTCAGGTATGAAATGATACCTGCTTACAAGGAGTCCCCTTCAACGAGCTTGGGCCTATATATTGTTCTGTCTGTATCTACGTGACCACAACTGAAGAGAGCATTGTACCCGTATGTGAAAACCTGCGCCGATAGTTACCACATGACCTCTTGTGTGGCCTTCAAAGGTAGTTTATTAAAGACCAAAAGAAGCAAAAGTAACCAACCTCCCCAGATTGCATTAAGAAAGCAACGTTATAGTCACTGGTCGATACTTGAATCACTTGCGCAGAGAACGGTAAATCTATATGCTTCAATTCAAAACATCGTCTAGTTTCCTTCCCATGACCAAGAGCCCACGCACTTGTACCACAAGAGTATACCTTCGAGTCCTTGATTACCATTGTCAGAGCCGTGCTAACATTAACAGATAGCGGAAGCGATAAAAACTAGAATGCCCTAATTAATTAAAAAGTTGAGTGTAAATTTTTTTGAAAAACAAACAAAATGTATATAAAAAAAAGGGAAACTTAAATAATTCTATCTAAACTGAAAAATTTGATAGAAAAACTAAAAAGAGAAAAGCTTTGTCATTAAAATCAACTTGAACCATCGTAATACGTAATTAGAGATAAACCGAACAAACCTCTCCTTTTACCCAAAATACTAATTACGGTATTTACAACATTTAATATATATATATATATATATATATATATATATAATTGCTTAACTATATTTAGAAGCAATGGATGCCCTTAAAATCTTCAAAGTTGATAAAATATTATGCCCTTAATTTTTTTTAAAAAATAGATGCCATAGGCCAATGTTTCAAATTCTTGCACTATGGCACGGCCCTGACCATTGTGAAGCTCTCCCCCGTTGCTACTTGCATCTGCATAGAGAAACCAATTGCATCATAACCAAATCCACGCTTTTCAAAACAATGACCAAACTCATCAAACTAAATTGACAAATATAAGCAAAAAGTGAAGCTTTGCCTCTTGAAGTCTTCACCATATCCCAAGATTTGCATCATAACCAAATAATTTGTAACAATTTCCAAACTTTTATTAAAGAAACATTACATTGCCTCTTGAAGTCTTGACCATAGCACAAGATTCAACAATGGAGTGCAAGAAACTCAAAACTCGCTTCCAGTTTCCCTCGCATCGTTCAACGAGTTCGTTCTGTTTATCCAAAGACAAAGCTTTGTAGATAGGATTCTTAGAGCATAGCCTAGACGCAGCGTGATCAGCCAATGATTTGAATAAGTCACGTTGGTTCAATCCGAAGAACTTCGATGTCGATTTGACGTTAACAAGATCAATCGCAGTAATGTGACTAGAGGTCAACACCTTCAAGATCAAATCATAAGGAAGATCCACAAACGAAGTCATTGCGTTTCTGATTTCCTAAATCCTAGAAACTTCTTGTTCACACACTTTTCTCTTATATTGATCGAAAAGGACGAGACTTTTCGGAGACTTTGAGCTTGCAAGAAGATGGGTGAACAAAAAGGTTAAGACTTCAGGAGAAATCGATCTAAAGAATGAAGAATAGACATGTAATCAAATACTGTAACAGAGTTTTGGGTGCGAAATTCGCACGAAGACGACGATTCAGAGATTAGACTAATGTGAGAGTTACCAAAAAAAAAAGAAGCAAATAACCACCCAATTTGGGCCTAACAAAAGAAAATTTTAATAATTTTTTTCTAATTTCGAAAAATAATTTTGATAAATTAGAAAACAGTTATTAAATCGAAATTCTTTTTTCGAAAATAAAATCGACGTTATTTTTTGCAAACCATTAGACAATTCTATTTGGCTCCCATTAGTGAGTATATACTATATGCAAGTATATTGCAAAATGACAATCTTTTAATTAAAATAATAGAATGTTAGAATGTGGCAGATTTGAGAATGTAATCCTACAAATTTGTGTGATAGTAATTTTTTTACAGAGTTGTACAATCTTTTTTTGTTTGATCAAAACATAATTGTACAATCATAAATCATAATACCATTTCTACCATATATGTGACCAAAGCTATAATACAAGTATACAACCATCACAATTTAGCTTATTTAAACATTTCAGAATCTATTTGGGTGAAAATTTATAAGATTATCCATACTTAAGTTTTTATTAGTTAAAACTTTAAAAAAAAAAAGATCTCCAAAAACTAACAAATTCAAAATGGTTAACAACATGTAGTATATGTATAACTAGAAAAAGACCCACGCGATGCGTGGGAATTGTTTGAATATATTTTATCATAAAAAAACTAAATTAGTTTAACCTAAAAAACATATTAGAACCTGTATTAATTATAAAGTATTATTCATTAAAAGTATTAGCAAAAAAATCTTCCAATTTATTTCTTCTCCAATGACTTAAAAAGTTGTAATTTACATGTTTAAATGAATCATATGATTTGACAAAACATTATCAATATATTTGAAAGGCTTGTGAATTAACATTTCCAGGGATATTGGAAAAATAATGAGAGGGCTTTGTGTCAAAAAGAAAAAAAGGACGGTCGACAAGAAGTGAAAAAAATTGGAGAGTAGAGATAATATTTTGTTATCTTAAAAGTCAAATACTTGTTGATTATTACAATATTACCATCACAAATAGAATTTATACCACAAATATATAAAACAAAATAGTACTCATAAATCCTAGTAACTAAATAAATTTAATAAAATAATTTATTATCACTTGAGTTTCACATTTTTGCCAAATTTGTACTAAATTGTAAAAATATAATGTAGTGAAATGTTTTGTAACTTATGGGTATCTATAGAGGGTAACAAAATTTTGAATTAAAGTACTATAAAATAATGTTAGAATACCGTTATAAAGCTAAGAAAATGTAAAGACAATACATTAATTGTAAACTTTAATAGAAATCTAATGATGTAAGATATTATTAAAAATATTTAATCGATATTTTACGAAAATTTTCAAGTAGTATAAAATATTAAATAATAAAAATAAATGTTAAAAGAAATAAAAACATGGAATATTTATAACATGGATGTTACGTTAAATTATCATTTATATCTCTTGCATCCATTTTGATAATTTGATTTATTACTTGTTTATGTAATAGTTAGTTCACATAGCTATTAGTCTTTTAAATTAGAAAGGAAATTATAAGCATCCGTAGTCATAATTATAAACGGTAGTATTCATAAGTGTTGTAAAATCGAATTTATAAGAGCTTATTCAATATTATCTTTTTCTCTTATGTTACTTGTTTACTTTAAAATCATGGAAATTTAGGTATATTAATTTAAAATATATACATTATCGAAATAGCTATTTAAAATGTAGGCGACTTAAACATCTCCAACTCCACTCTATTTTTTTTTCTCTAAACTCTATTATAAAGCACAATTCTCTCCAACCCTCACTCTAAAATAGAGTAAAAGAGAAGATTATTCTATATATAGAGGAACTCTATTTTTTTTACAATACCTCTATTTTAGAGTAGAGTATAGAGTGATACATTGGAGAGAAATCATGCTCTATTTTAGAGTAAAATATAGAGATTTGCATTGGAAATGGTCTTAGGAAGTAATTTATACAATTAATACTCCATTAATAAAAAAATCATTTATTAATAAGGATGTAAGGATGTTCATTATTTATTTGAAAGTGAAAAGAAAAAAAAATAAGAAAAATATGGCACATATCGCTTAAAACAAATATTAGAATATCTGAAAAAAAATTTTAGAATTTCTTATATATGTTAATTCTCAATTTTAAAACGACAGTAAAAAGAAAAAAAATATATATATAAGATGTCGGAGTAATTATTGAAAATTGCTAAGTTGAAGATTGTTAATTTTATTTTTCAATTTATACCGCATTAATCAGAAAATTAATTTTTTATATTTAAAGGAAGAAGATAAAATATGGCTCATGTTGGCAAAAAAAAAAGAGCAACTTTTATATATGTGTAGAATAACTTTTAAAACTAGTTTTATATGAGATTTGAAATTGTATTTAGTGATTTTGAAAACTTGTCACCCGTTTAATTTGGATAAATATAACTTTTTGTGATCATTAACTTAAAAATCAAGTTTCAAATGCGAGAGGAACACCAATCTTAGCAGCAGTGGTCTCAACACATTTGTTCCACATCCGTTTGCTCCTAGGAAGAATCTCAGAAGCAGCATCTTTTAGCTCATAAGTGGCGAATACAAAAGTCATCAATCCTTCGTGACAATCTCTTCCAATCTTCAAAAAGTTCACACAACAATTCTCCGACACGGGCTTGTCGTCGATCAATCCTTCCGTCATCTCAACACCGCATTTCGAGCTCATTTTATCCGAACAATCTTGGAGAAATTTGATGCGTTGTGTCGTCATGTGGTCTAGGAGTTCGTGGTCGTACTCGTAAGCTGCAACGGGTTCGTATGCAAATGATTCGGGAGATATTGGACTGATCTCTTCTTCTTGAGCGAGAGTTTGATAAACCATTGATGTGGTGGCTATGAGAAACGTTATGAGAATTGCTTTCTCCATTTTCTTGTTCTTGTGATGAAGAAAAAAGATTTGGTGAAGTAGGCTTTTAATGATTTACTGATTTGTAACGACTAGCTTTTTATGTTTTTGGTCATTAAAGGATTGTTTGATTTTTTGAAATGTCACATATGTTACTTGATTAATATTTAAGTCACATTTCAGTTTATATTTTTATAATAGAAAGGAGAAATTTTTTTTGCATCCGCTACACGACGTGTAAATATGCACATTTTAGATTGGATCACTCAATTCTATCCGAAAAACTATCCAAAATATTTTAATTGGAAAACTAGAATTTAGTCATTTGGATCACAATAATTTATCCTAGCATACATGTAGTGTATATTAGTTGAATGGTACTTGGACCCTAACTGAACCATTTCGGTTCTTATATGAATATTAAAGTAAGAATCGAAAAATCTGGAACCGAATATTCGTAGAGCTAGTGTATACGAATGGTACCTGGACCGGATGTAGAGAAATTAAGAGACTTGAACGGTGACTTGTGAAAGAAACAAACACAAACAAATTGATAACCGAGTTCACGGCTTAACCGCTACGTATCGGGGGAGGACTCTTGCTCCCAACTTTCACTATGAGAATGAGGTTACAAACACCACTTAACTTGTGATGTTGTCTTTTGGTTTCAGATACAATCTCAAGAAGAACAAAGATCAAAGACAAAGAACAAAGAAGGAGAAAGCTTGTCGAAGAAGAACCCTCTTTTCTTCTCTTTCTCTAGAACTCTCTTGTGTCTTGTCTCTCACCTACCACCACTACTTCTTCATCTCACGTAGAGAAATATATGTGTATGTGATGGGCCACTCTTGTTCTCCTTTCTTTATGCAATTTTCGTCAGGCCCACTAAAGGCCCATTTATGTGTGTTTTGTCAAACCCAACAACAAACTCCACCTTTTGATTTCCCCTTTCGTGAAGCCAAAACGTCACCACCAATCGCCTTCTCCTCCGGCGATATACTCCGGCGACGTCCTCCATCTCCGATTATCATCTCCACCAAACTCCTCCGAGTTTCCACTTGTTCCCGTGATGGAGAGAAGATGGTAAGAATCAAAATCAATTTTAGATTCCGATCACAGCCGTACGTTCTTCGACGGCCACGTCCGGCGAAATGAAGCACAATCCTTCACCTATTTCTCGACGGCTCTTACTTTTGGCGAATCAAAGATATCACCTTCGTCTCTCATCTCCGCCTCTTGCTCGTGAAATTGGAGATAATAGAGACCAAAGTCTCTTCCGGTGATCTCCTTATTATTTCCGGTGACCATCTCTCTCTCTCCGCCGGCAATTATGCATGAAGCACATGAGACATCCTCTTGTCTCCACTCATGAATCTGACCCGAGTTCTCCGTCTTCTCCGGTGAATCGGACCACCGCTATCACCGTCCAACTCAGGTACTCTCAAACCTCTCTCTTGGTTTTGGTGACGATTGGAGATTAGATCTTCTGAGATTTCTAAATATTGAAACTTGATTTTCAGTTTCAAAATCAATTCAGGTGACAAGCTCCATCACTTCCCCGGTGAGATTCAAAGCTTCTCCGCCCACCTCCTCATCTGAAAATCCCAGGTACATCTAAACTCTCTCTTGTCTCTTCACTGTGAGATTTAGAGATTAGGATCTTCTGGAAATTTCAGAAAATTTTGTAACCATTTTAGGCTTTTCCGACGAGCTCCTCAGCCCTTCCGACGAGCTCCTCTGCCTCTCCGGCGAGCTCCATCATGCTCAGTCACATCCGATCCTCAGGTAATCTCTTTCTCTGAAATCGTTTCAGATTTACGACATCTTTTAACCATGAGTTTCTAAACCTGACTGTCAATTGTGACTCCACCTGAAACCTTGTTCCTTTTAACCCCGTTTCAGAAATCTTCAAGAAGCATCACAACCTTGAATCACCTCTGCCTGACCAATTACTACAATCTCAAAGTCTGATGTGATTCTCTAACCAAGTTTCTCTCTGAAACTTTCATAAGCTGCTCCACATGGAACTAATCACTCTGCAGCACAGCTCCAAAAAATATTCAGGTAACACTTTCACAACCCGAATCATCTTCTTTCATTAAGCCTCTTTTGATATTCAGAGACTCCATGAAACGCTAACTTTGAATTTCATGTTTATTCTCACAGCAGCTCCATTGATGAACAACCCGTGTTCTTCTTCTCTTTGATGACTACAGGTAATCTCTTAACCATGAGTCATCCTCCTCTCTTGCTGCTGAATCCTGTTTCCCTTTGGGCTACTGGAATCCTGACTTGGATTTCCTGAATTTTCAATGCAGAAACTCCACTTAGAATCCCAACATGTAACTCATGACAACCAATTCTCCACAGGTAAGCAACTTCTCTTATCCTGAATCACTTTCTCTTGACTCATACTTCCAAAACTCAAGAACCAACAGTGAAGAACAAAACTATTTTTCTTGAATGTTTCCAACAGCTCCACCTGGAATCTAAGTCCCTCACCGTAATTCCAGGCGCCTACAGGTAACTCCCTTAACTCTTCTGAATTACTTTTATCGACATAATAAATTTTCCCAGAACTGACATGTTTCTCTGTTCTTCTCCCTGCCAGCGTACAATGTCGATACCGGAGTTACCTGGAGCTGTGTCGCCTTTCAGGCGATGTTGAGGAGATCGTAGCAGACCTGAAAGTCATGTCCAGGTACTACTTGAGTCATAAGATCTGCTGGAGTGATTGTTAGTATTTTATCTAGGACCACCTCTCCTTTAGATACCAAATCTGTGATGAACTGAAAACTTATGTCTATTAGTTTGGTTCTCGATGCCTTCTCTTCTGTAGTTAAGCTTCTTGATTTGAAATGAGATGTAGTTGGCTTTACCACTGATTTAGCTTCTGACATGTTGAAAGTCTCTACTTCATTTTCCTGACTTTCCTGTGATGTAGATAGAACTTCCTTACCCCTATCTCTGTCCATTCCCTGAATCCTTGAAGCTTTTTCCAACTCTTTCATTTCAACTTCATCGCTTAAACTTTCCTGAACCAAACTGGTTTCTGACAAATCCTCTTTCTTACTGACACTTTCTAGTTTATCCATAAAAACTCTTTCATCCTTCACTTCATTATCGCAGTGCGCTCCCTTCTTACTGCGATCTCTCACCGGTGGCTGGTCATCAGAAGTTCCTGCACACTTAATCTCTTTTAAACTTTCTGATTTTTCTGTTGAGGATGCATCTCCACCTTGAACTGATGATCCCCTTCTCTCAAAGCCATATGGAGTAGGACCTTGAATTAATTTCTCACTGAAAGTCACTTTCTTTGACTTCTTCTTTTTCACTCCATCTTCAGCCTTGGCAATACTTTTTCCACCGCTTTCAGCTTGTGACACATTTACTTCAGCCTTAACAACCGTGCCTTGAAGATGATAAAGCCCTTCGTGATACCGGAACTGACAAAAAAAACTTATAGGAATACTAAATGAAAATTGAAAAAATCAGAACCGAATGGATCCGAACCGAAACCGAACTCCGAGGGCTAGTGTAAACGAATAAGATACGTATTGTCTCACAATCAGAGGAAAAAGATTTGGTGGAGGCTTTTCTCATATTGATCACGCCGGCCAAATGCATAGATTTAGAAGGGGCTTGTGTTATAATGGGCCTATGGGCCAAAACCATTGAAGTCTTTCAAAAAAGCGTTTAAGCCCATATTGAGAGGAGAGTCAGAGAAAGCCAAAACCCTAGCAAAATACTCAACGCCACATTTCTTATTATTCTTCCTTCTCTGCTTCTTTCTTCTTCCATCGTTATCTGTCAAGGAAAACAAAAATTCAGAGATGGTGAAGAAGGAGAAGAAATCGAATGTTTCCGGGAAACCAAAGCATTCGCTCGATGCGAATCGTGCCGATGGGAAAAAGAAAACCACCGAAGGCCGTACCAAAGCCACAGTTAATCGGCTTAAGATGTACAACACTAGACCTAAAAGAACCAGTGGTGGTAAAATCCTTAGCAACGAGTACCAATCTAAGGAACTACCCAACTCACGAATCCAATCTGATCGACGATGGTTTGGTGAGTTTCAGATTTTTCGTGAGAGTTGTTTACTCAATTGATTTCTGATTTTTGGATGTATTTTGTTTGTATAGTGAACACTCGTGTTGTGAATCAGAAAGAGCTTGAATACTTTAGAGAAGAGCTTCAATCTAAGATGTCTAATACTTTTAATGTGATTGTGAAACCGAGGAAGTTGCCTATGTCTCTTTTAATTGATAACAAGAAGGTAAAGGTTTTAACTTTTTTGAATTCAGATTTGTTAATGGTGTTGAAAGTTTCGATTTTTGATTGGTTTTGGTGATTCTTTTGTTAAGCAATCGAGAGTTCATTTACTTGACATGGAGCCCTTTCAAGATGCTTTTGGAAGGAAGACTAAAAGGAAGAGACCGAAGCTCGTGGCTTCTGATTATGAAGCCTTGGTTAAGAAGGCAGCTGAATCTCAGGGTAAATTGAACTTCTTCGAGCTTGTTGTATATAAAATGATGTAATTATTGAAACATTTTTGGGGACTTTTGAAGATGCATTTGAGGAGAAGAATGGGGCTGGTCCTTCTGGAGAAGGAGGAGAAGAAGAAGATGGGTTTAGGGACCTTGTGAGGCATACTATGTTTGAGAAGGGACAGAGCAAACGTATTTGGGGCGAGCTTTACAAAGTCATAGACTCCTCTGATGTAATTGTCCAGGTATGTCTCGATTTATGGACCGAGTTAGTGAAGGAGATGTATTTTAGTTATATTCTTATTTTGACTTAGTTGTATTTGGTGTGGCAGGTTATAGATGCTAGGGATCCACAAGGTACTAGGTGTCATCATTTAGAGAAAACGTTGAAAGAGCATCACAAACATAAACACATGATTCTGTTGTTGAACAAGGTTAGTTGTTTTCATCTCTTGGAAACTCAGCTAGCTTAAGTTGACAGTTCCTGTTGTGAAAGTTACTTACTAGATATCTTAATGTGTCTTTTGTGTTTGTGCTTTAAAGTGTGATCTTGTACCGGCTTGGGCCACTAAAGGATGGTTGAGAGTATTATCAAAGGAATATCCAACTCTAGCATTCCATGCAAGTGTTAACAAGTCATTCGGAAAGGTACTTCATCGACTATACATCCCCTTAAGA